CAGCTCAGGTCATGATCTCAGGGTCCTGGGATCGAGTCCCGCATCGGGCTCTCTGCTCAGCAAGAAGCCTGCTTCCTCCTCTCTCTCTCTCTCTCTCTGCCTGCCTCTCCGTCTACTTGTGATCTCTCTCTGTCAAATAAATAAATAAAATCTTTAAAAAAAAAAAAAAAAAGAGCATCTGAGCAACGAGCTGCCTGAATTTGACTAGCTGGGTATTTTCTAATTTCTCCCTGCTCAGTAGCAGCACTGAAAGCATTTCTGTCTTCTCAATGGTTCAATGCACCCAAATCACCGGCCAATCAGTGTCTTTAAAGGATGTTACATAGACTCTCTTCTCTCCCCATCTCTTTTTACCTGGAGAACAGAAAGGAGAGAGAATCTTAAGAGTGGGCAACTATGGAGCACCTGGGTGGCTCAGTGGGTTAAAACCTCTGCCTTCGGCTCGGGTCATGATCTCAGGGTCCTGGGATCGAGCCCCGCATTGGGCTCTCAGGCTCCGCAGGGAGCCTGCTTCCTCCTCCCTCTCTCTCTGCCTGCCTCTCTGCCTACTTGTGATCTCTGTCTGTCAAATGAATAAATAAAATTGAAAAAAAAAAAAAGAGTGGACAACTATGCATCCTCTCCACTGGTCTCCCCACATGTGATAGGAGAGAACCCAGGAATTTTCTGGGATCTTGGACTAACAAGAAGCCAAGAGGCATGTGCTCTTCATAGAATACCATGGTAGACGTGGTTGGTGACATTGTGCCATCTTTGGGGAGTTTTCTAAAAGTTCCGTTCATCCTTTTGAGTATGGTTGCAGGACTCAACAGCCAGATGACTGGATTACTGGCCCCAGCCATCCAAATTGTCATGTTTGGTGGGAGCAAGAGTAGTTCTTAAATCCCATTTATCTATAAGGCTTCCTCACCCAACTTTGTCGTACTCAACATCTCCCAGCTGAACTGATGGGTTTTGCATAATTTATAAGTTTGCATAAATGACACAAATATTATTACAATACAAATAAAATTTTATTCATGACAATCCAATCTTGTAAGAGTATTTCTGCAGTATTCCCAAAATACAGTGATATGAGAAGGAAAGGGAGGAGAAGCCTTCAGGCAAGTTGAGAATCATCTCCCAGACCCCTTTCCATCTCATCCTATTTCCTTCCTGTTGATGGCTTTGCTTGCCTATCTTTCCTGTGGAATTCACTGATGGAACATCTTTGCTTAGCCCCATCCAGGAAGAAGCTCTGTGGTGTGCGGATAGTGAGTTTGCTCAAGGAAGTCAGACTCTTCACAAGGAATAACTAGACGTGAGAAGCAGCATGGATGAGCTGGCACCAGTAGAAGGGGAGGGCCAGCTCCCAAGCCCTCACCACCAGGGCTCTCTGAGGAAGGCTGTGGCTGCTGCCTTGGCCCTGGATGGGGAATCCACAATCGGTCACAGGAAAAAGAAGAGGAAAGAGTCCCGCCCTGAATCTATCATAATCTACCGGTCAGAAAATGAGAAACTAGATGAGGGGCCTGGGGAATCAGAAAGTGGAGACCGGCCTAAAGAAGAGGAGGGAGACGATTTCCTAGATTATCCTGCAGATGAAGGTGAGTCTCCAGGGCCACTTACCTAAAGCCACAGGGAAGAATGAGGATTCTCCAGAAGACAGACAGGGATTTGCTCACTGACCTACTTCGACTTATTGACACCTTTCTTCTGACAATATCACAGTCTTCATTCCACAGATCAGCAGTATTTATTAAACATTGACTTTGTTCTGTTCGCAGTGATGCAGAGATCATCTCTGTCCTTTCTGAACTCCTAGTGTAAGCAAAGAGACCGATTTATACACAAAAATTAGTAATACAAGCAGACTATGCTAATTATTTATTTTTAAGACTATGCTATTTACTTAATACACGTAAGATAAAGAAGCAAATAGTTGACTTTTATAATAATCAGGAACACGTGAATTACAATAGCAGTGAGTGGTAATATTCCTTTACGTGTAGGTTGGCCAAAAATTGGGTACACTAGGATAACATCAATGTGAGAAAATAGTTGTGCTATCAATGTCCCTCCAGTGGAAATGGAATTCTGTTTTACCCACTTCGTAGGGACACTTATCAATAATTATTAAATTCAGACTGAGTATCTTACATTCTAGAAATTCTCAGTATCCCATGAAACTTAGGCCCATGGGCATAAGGATGCATGTGTGGGAATACCTGTTGCTGCTAACGGAGCCGTGGAGTGTCCAGACTAAGCATCACCATGCAGCAATAGACGGGTAAGGTAGATCGATTTTAGCAGGATTGTTCTCTAAGACATAGGCCCACAGTGGACAAGACCAGCAACGTCTCTGCTCTTGTGCAGTTTGCCTTCTAGTGAAGGGAAGACAGACAGTGAACGAGGCAGTCATTCAAAGTTAATTTCAGGGAGTGGTATGAGTTACAAAGACCGTAAACCACAGTGATGTGGAATGATAGGTGGAGGGCGTGGGGGAGGAGATTGCCTGGTCATGCGAGGACCTCTGGAAAGTGGCCCTTGAGCTGATCTGCACGAAATGAAGGAGCCGACTATGAAATGGGGCCAAGACCCTAAGATGGAAGCACCACTGGCCTATTCCCCTGCTCTCAGGGAAGACGAGCAGCAGTGGTGGAGAGGTTCATGCTGGGCCTTGCAAGTCATAGTAAGGAGTTTGGGATTTGATTGAAGTGCAAGTGGAAGTCAGTGGAGGACTTTTATGCAAAGGAGAGATAGCCTCTATTTCTAAACCATCATTCTGGCTTTATAAAGAGTGGATTCTAAGAGGCAAGAGTAGAAGCTGATAAGAAACTGTCCCATCCCTGAGGCCACAATAGCACTAATGTAGAAGCCTGGACCAGGGTGACCTCAGGAAAGCTAGCTAGGGAAAATAGGCTGGATTCTTTTTTTTTTTTTTTTTTTTTTTTAAGATTTTTTGTATTGGCAGAGAGAGAGAGTACACACAAGCTGGGGGAGCAGCAAACAGAGGGAGAAGCACGCTCCCTGATGGGGGACTCGATCCCATGACCTGAACTGAAGGCAGATGCTTAACCTGACTGAGCCCCCCCAGGCGCCCCAACAGGCTGGATTCTGGGTCCGATTTGGAACTTGCTGATGGATCAGAGGTAGGGAGTGAGAGAAAGAGAGGAGTCAGCAATGACTCCTAGGGTTTTGACAGGAGCAACAGAGAAGGACGTGGTGGTGTCATTTACTGTTCAGTGAGATGAGGGAGGTTTTGAGATCATTAGGTTTTGGGTGAACAGTACAACCTTCCTACTTCTTCCAGCCATGGAAGAAAGACTCCTGCCTATACTACCCCCCTACCCCCTCCCCAACCTCCCCTTGTAGACTATATTTCACATACCAAGGGGCCACAGACTTCTGTGTTCAGTAGCTCTGGTGTCACTCCAGGATGACTAAAGGATGGCAGTTCGCTGCTGGTGGTGGTAATGTGTGGGTATGTGTATGAGGACAGTGTACATGTGTGGTATGTGTGGTGTGTGTCCAGAGCTTGGACGTGAGGGCTGAGATGACCATAGGCATGTGAGGAAGCCTCGTCTCAGGGAAGCATAGAGACAGAGATGAGCAGGGAAGGGGAGTGCACTGCCCATTGGTAGGACACACATGCAGCACAATCTTCACACACATCAGTGGATACTCACACACTTATACACTAGAAAAAGTTCATTATGAACTGGTGTCTATGGCAAAGTTCCTCATACCCCTCCATATTACAGAGATCATGCCAAGACTGAGGCCCAGCAAAGTGAAGAGAGAACTTGAAAAGCAAGTTAACCTGCTTCACAGTTTCTTCAGAGCCCACGTGTGTGGAGTAAGAGTCCCCTGGGGGAGTCCTAACATCAGGGAGGGAGGGAGGTCCACCCACTTCATCTTCACACAGTCATTGACTCCAGGACTGTGCCAGGTGCTATAAAAACAGGAACTGTGGTATTCAGCCTCCAGCTCAGATGATAACCCTGTAATTAAATGTGCACTCTTCTGACCTTAACGTCACATCCTTGATGCCCTGCAGGGATGTGGAACATGCCTTTGGACAGCCGCTATGTCACGTTAACTGGCACCATCACACGAGGAAAGAAGAAGGGCCAGATGGTGGACATCCATGTCACACTGACAGAGAGGGAGCTGCAAGAATTGACGAAGCCTAAAGGGTCATCAAGGGAGATAACACCTGAAGACAGAAAGGCCTGCCAAATGGGAGCAGATCGTGGGCCCCATGTCGTCCTCTGGACACTGGTCTGTCTGCCTGTGGTCTTTATCCTCTCTTTTGTTGTCTCTTTCTACTATGGCACGATCACCTGGTACAACATCTTCCTTGTGTACAATGAGGAGAGGACCTTCTGGCACAAGATCTCATGTTGCCCCTGCCTCATTCTCTTCTATCCAGTGCTCATCATGGCCATGGCCTCTTCCCTGGGCCTCTATGCTGCTGTGGTCCAGCTCTCATGGTCCTGGGGAGCATGGTGGCAAGCTGCCCGGGACATGGAGAAAGGCTTCTGTGGCTGGCTGTGCAGCAAGCTAGGTCTGGAGGACTGCTCCCCCTACAGCATTGTCGAGTTGCTGGACGCTGACAATATCTCAGGCAATCTCTCCAACAAGGACCCCACCCAGGAAGTAGAAACTTCCACTGTCTAAACTTCCAACAACTTCCATCCTTCTCTGGTCCTAGTAGCCTATTGTCTCCCGATTCCAGGAGATTCTTTCTTTAAATTAAACCCTTTCCCCTCTCAGTCCTGGAAAATTCTAGCACACACTATTCTGTTCTACCATCTTGGTGGTTTCAGGAGGGCAGGGAACAGAAAAGCAATTTGTGCCAAAGCAGTCTATCCACAGACGAATTCTTTTCATTCCCTGTCCTAAAATGACCATTTATCTGGGACAGGGAGTGCAGTTGTGTGTTAAGCTCAGGAGCTTGAAGATGTTACTGGTGACTGGAACCCAGGGAAGGATGTGACTAAATGTGACAGGTAGAAAAATGAGGCCCAAAGGAGACCAAGTTCACCAAAAAGATAATACGTAGGTAGGAGAGAAACGCTTAGGAAGCTGGGCTACCATAGTGCAGCAGAATGTAAAGATTTGAGTGTATCACTTAGAGTTTAGTTTAGTGGCATAGAATTCAAATCCTAAAATACCAGTGGTTTAAACAAAGTAGAAGTTTCTTTCTTTCTTATATAGAAGAAATCTGAAGGTTGATCATCAGGGGACCTGATGAAGTCATCCAAACCCTAGGCTTTCTTCCCCTACCATTAGGATATAACCCTCTTTGTCCTTGTCCTCAAAACCTCAGTGGTGACCACATCTCCAGCCCTCGCATCCATGGTTCTTGCAGAATAAAGGAGGGAGCAAAGACATGTATATTCTCCCTGTTTAAGGAGACTTCCCAGAAGTCTCCCTCAAGCTCAACACTTCCTGTATTTCATTGGCTAGGCCTTAGTCACGTGACCTCGCAAGCAAAAGAGGCTGGGAAATGTAGTCTTTTGATTAGGCAGCTATAGTTCAGGTTAAATATTTGGGTTCTGCTAATTTAAGCAAAAAGAGAAACATGACAATTTTGGTAGGCATAAAAGAATCTCTGCCTCACGGTAATCATTTAAATATATTCAGATCCCAAACTGCTATTTTGTTTTATTTATTTATTTATTTATTTATTTATTTAGGGCTGAATGTTACACAGAGATTTTCTACATAGATACTAGTTACATATACTATGTATATGCTATCAGTAGATAATTAGCATCTCATGTACTTTGCAATTAGTCTGTAATGTCATGTGGTTTCAGGGTTTTTAGAAAGGAAGAGTGGAGAGTTGAATATAATTAGTAGCATAACTTTTTTCCTGGTAGTGAAGGCAGGACTGGGTTGTGATGTTTAATTTAATCTATACATTAAAGACTGTGTAGGGAGGATTTGCAAACTTCCCCCAACAGGGATCAGTAGCCCTAAGCATGGAGAAGACAGGGTTAGGTTTCTGTTGTTTGGCAAGACCTCACAGCCTCACTCAGTCAGACCTTATTGGAGTTTAACCAACAGTGTCTTCACTGTATCTCCACGCTTCATGAAAGCGTGTCTTCCTGGCCACTGGGGGGTGAACACCAGATGAATCTAGATGAATAGAATCTGAAGTTTTTTTTTTTTCCTGTTTAAATTTATTCCTGAGGGTGTCTTTCTAATGTCAAAAAAATCGAATCCCAAGAGATTGAGCAGATTTTGGAGGTTTGGGTCCTCACAAGAACAGCTGGTGCCCATTTCTTGTTCCTGTCTCAGGAAGAAGCTACGTTCAGAACAGCTGTGAATCAAACCAGACAGGTCAGTACTGCTCTCCCACAGAAGGCCACGGACATTGGTCTAAAGCATGCGGAATACCGTTTTCAGAAGAACCCCCTTTGAAAATAGCAACAACAAAAACTATTATTAGTTTCACACAAAACAAAACTCTGCCCAACCGTTTTGAAAGTAACCTTGGTGCTCTCTGGTGCTTTTGCAGAAATGTAAACAACTGAAATGATGACAAAGAAAATAAAAATAAAATAAAATTAATTTTGTTCAGACGGTCTTTGAATTTCTCCAAAATTGCTTTGAATGCTACTGTTTGCAGAGAAAGGGTGAGCCTGATTGCTGTTCTGTGTATGTATAACGATCTTAATACAGATCCTTATGTTTTGACTCTTCCCACATACCACTCATTTATGGTGAGTCCATTTAGGTGGACTGTTTTCTGCAGATCACATATTTACCTAAGCCTACATCAGGAAGTTGCAACCGCATTTGTCAGATTTTTCTGGGATTAGGGAAACCAATAGCCAAGGCCAAAAATAATCATGATTAGGACTAGGGTATGGTGGCTGTGGTGGAATGGAGGAGAATGGGGTGAGGGTGGGGCCCAAGGGATACTGAGATGAAGTGGACATGGCTCTCAGACTAGTTAGACTCAAAACCTAGTGGAAGAAGCTTAAATCGTTTCACAAGGGCTCTACTAAGGTATATAAAAGCCTAGTCTAGACTTGAGGAAGACTTAACCAAAGAGATCAAAAGGAATCTCATCTTTGCTATCAGCAAATACCGAGAGAATTAATACCATCTATGGACATTCTGTTAGCTCATAGCTGCCTAATCTTTATGGCGAGCATCAGGGAGGACTGTGCGTTCCAATGGCTTTGCAGCCATAATACGCCGAGCTGGGTAAACCATATCTGGTCCATGATGACACTGCTACTAAGACATCTTGTCTATTGACACTGAGCAGCATTTTCATATCAGTTCAAGTCCAGGAGGGAATAAAACCTTCATCCTCCAGGATTTTCAATAAAACGATGCTAAATCTTAAAAGTTTAGTTGACCTGAAAGTTTCATTGTCCCCTTCATGGCCACCCCGGACTTATGTTTGGCAGTGTTGCAAAAGCTTAGTGGCTAACATTATTGCCCACCTTCCCACCTTCCCCTCCGAGGTGCAAACAAGCAGAGGTACTAGAATCTCTTTTATTTCTCCCAGGAAACAAACCTGTAGTGGAGGAGTCTGGGTGAGAGGGAGAGAGAAGAGAGCTAAAGGAGAGAGAGGGAAAAAAAAAAAAAAGAAACTACAAACAAGATAAAAGCCCTGATATGGTTGACACCAAATGAACAAATCTTTCAGAATCTCTGAAAGTGAGAAAGAGTTTTATTCGAGCCCAAGTTAGGACAGCTGCCAGGGAAACACACTCTTCACAGGGAAGAAAGTGCTCTGGGAAATTAACAGTTTTTACAGGGTTATGTACTTTTTTCACTGAGATTATAGATTAGCATATGGGCAGGAATCACAAGTTTTGTCATAAAGGGATGCAGGGACTAGGAATATTGATCAGTAACTCAAGGACAAGATTTTTTTTGTCATTCACAAAGCAGATGTACAATGCACGTGTGGCGGCCATAAATCAGGCTTTGGATCTGAACGAAGGTCATATACAACTAACGAGAGAGCAGAAGGCCAGCTGAGGACAAAGCACAAGCTGACACCCCACAACCTACCCCTTCCCTCCCCCGCTCACTCCCAGGTGTGTTTTCTTAGGCATTCCTCAGGAATTCCTGGCTGCCCTAAAGCTAAGGGAAGGCAAAACCAAAGGTTAACAATAGAGATCATGCCCAAGAGCACATGATCTCTCCCTTAGTTTATAAATGTCTTAGTGTTTTAAGAGAAAAAAGTATTCTTATCCATAGCCTATCTTCCAAAGACCCATAGACTCAATTTCTTGGAGCCCTAACATCACCCACCCATCCATAATGATATGGGAAACAAAGGTAAAAGGGAACGTAAATATAAAATTTCCTTATAACCTGCAGCCAAGGACTTGTGATAGGAAGGATATAATGTTTCTCCAGGAAGCTCCCAACTGTCTTACTGTTAATGCTTTATTAGAGGGAAAAACAACCTTCATTTGACAATGGCAAGGCCTCCAATACCTTGTAGGTCTTTAGCGTCTCAAAGTTCGTTTGAAAAACTTTTTCCTTCTGTTCTCCAACTCCCAAGTATATTATCAGTCACCCCTCACAACCCTGGTGGTGCCCAAGGGTTCTGTCCACGTGCTTTAATAAAATAACCTTTTTTTGTATCAAAGACATCTCAAGAATTCTTTGTTGGCCATCAGCTCTGGATCTAACCTATATACATTCAAAAACTACATCACAGTCATAGTGACTTAGAAATCTGCAATGGCTTCCCTTGTATATAAGGCCTTTGGAGAGGTGTTTTTTTTTTTTTTTTCATCAACATGAAACATACAAATTTCCTTCACCATAGTGAATTTTTACTAATTTGATTTACCTCTTATATAGATAATTAATAAAAAATATTTGAGTTTTAAAAGAACTCCTTGGGTTTGAGTCAAAAGCTTGAAGTGATGTGACGTGGGCCAGGAGTGAATAATTCTTGAGACATTTTCCATACAAAAAAGTGTTCTTAGGGGTGCCTGCGTGACTCAGTTGGTTTGGTGTCTGACTCTTGATTTCAGCTCAGGTCCTGATCTTGGGGAGGTGAGATCAAGCTCTGTGTTAGGCATGGAGCTTGCTTAAGATTCTCTTCCTCTCTCTGTTCCTCCCTCCCTCCTCTCTCTTCCTCCCCCCCCCAAAAGATGGTGTTTACGTCTTTAAATTTTTAATTAATTAATTAATTAATTTTTAAGAAAGGCAGACTGCCACATACAGCACCTCATTTGGATATGTCTGGAGTCTTGGAAACTTGACTATTCTACGTTCTCCTACAAATGGACCCTGAGAGCTTTTTTGGAGGTTCTAGCAGAGGAGCGCAGCTCCTTGTACACCCTTGACCGAAGAACGGTCCTCTCTTGCATCCGTGAAGGTCATCCTCTTCGTCTGAGCGGGCAGCTTTGGGAGGCAGGAACATGGAGTGGTGAGGGAGGAAGGGGATACCTGCCTAGCCAGCCAGATCAGCTGAATCAACCCTGGCGATCAATGGGGTGACAGATGTCGTAGCCAGATCACCCTCACATCCGTATTTCTTAAAAAGATTTTAATTTATTTGACACACACACACACACACACACACACACACACACACAGAGCACAAGCAGTGGGAGCAGCAGGCAGAGGGAGAGGGAGAAGCAGACTCCCTGCTGAGCAAGGAGCCCAACACCAGGCTGGATCCCACCACCCTGGGATCACGACTGGAGCCCAAGGCAGACAGATGCTTAATCAACTTAGCTACCCAGGTGCCCCAAGATGGTGTTTTTATTAAACCCTGGAGAAAGTACCTGTGGGTAGAAAGAGCTGCCCAGGCATTGTGAGGAGCTGTTCATTATATACTTTTAAGGTGGGAGGAAGGGTAAAGACAACGGAAGTTTCTAAAAGGGATTTTTCATATGTTAAATGATACATGTTTGCAATCATCCCCCAAGCACCAATATACATCTGTAGGGTTTCAGGACTGAGGGTTTACTAAACAGTAATAAATGACCTTTTCCTAACACTACCTAGCCCTTTCAAGGTCCTGGAAACCTTGCTTCCAAAATTCTTTAGAGACTTATGCTACTCCTAGTCCCCTCCCAACTTGAAAGTATATGTAATCAGTCACCTGTCACAATCCCAGGGCAGTTCTTTCTGGCCACGGGTTCTGACCCCATGCTTTAATAAATCAACCTTTTTGCACCAAAGACATCTCAAGAATTCTTTCTTGGACTGGGGCCTGGGTCTCAGGTACCCACATTCAAAAACCTCAACCATATTTTTTTAGATTATTTATTTATTTATTTGACAGAGATCGCAAGTAGGCAGAGAGGCAGGCAGAGAGAGAGGAGGAAGCAGGCTCCCCGCTGAGCAGAGAGCCGATGTGGGGCTCCATCCTAGAACCCAGGGATCATGACCTGAGCCGAAGGCAGAGCTTTAACCCACTGAGCCACCCAGGTGCCCCACCCCAACCATTTTTTAAACCAGCGAGCCCGCCAGGCATTATGATTGATCATAATCACCACCACCTCTACCGCCACCTCTAGAACATTCCCTAGATTGGACTTTCAAATTAAATCCTTAAGTCTTAATGCTTAATATCCTTCCTTCCAAACTGGCGACGCTTCAAACTATTGGGAGATCCTTCGCAGGTGTTGTTCTGTGCCTCGTGGCCTGTGCATATTCCATTTCCTCTGCAAAGGAAGGAATCGATCCCACTATTGACAGCCTGGAACACTGTTCTTTCGGCAGTTGGTTCCAATGCCATCGCGTCTGGGTAGCCTTCCTCTATCCTCCCTTTTCGGAAAAAAAACAAACAGGCTTTTAGAGAAGATAAGGGACTTTCTGGATTCATACTCATACTCAGGGAAACCGAACTCCAGAACTCTGACCCTGGTGTTGGTGATCTCAACACCAGGAAACGGAAACGGTTTCCGTGAAGTCAATTGCTCTAATCTAGTTTTACAGACCCGAGCAACTCAACGTCCACAAACCCCTTACGGGGGTGGGGGTGTGTGTGGCTGGGACACGCAGGGACTACGCATGCTCAGGGGCCCAGTTTCCCCGCCCCTTCCAGGTTCCGTGGGAAGCGGCTCTTTTTACGACGCTCAGGCTCCGACTCTGCAGGACCTCAGTAGCGGCGCTCGCGGTTCCCGCCCGGAAGAGGCGGCCGCGGTACCGGCGCACCCAACATGGCGCGGCCCGGGAATAAGGTAGAAAGAGCGTGGGTTTGGGCCTTGCTGGTGCAGGGGATCCGGAGAGGGCGGTTCGGGAGCAGGAATCGTGGGATCACGGCGGGCCACGGCTGGGTCCAGAGGGCCGGCCGCGCAGGGACAACCTGCGGATCTGGAGTCCGGATACCTGAATTTGAGCCTCGCCCACTCCCCATTCACTCTGCCTCCTTAGCCCTCCCAACCTCTCACTCCCTCTTCACCTCCTCATCCCACCACTCTCCCCGCTCCGCTTGCCTCCTTTCTTACTCTCATAGTCCACCCTTCTCTTCCATTACTTCCTCCACTTCCTCCGTTTCTTTTGAGCCTGGGTTTTTAGAATCTATAGGAGAATGAAAATTAGCCTTGGTAGACACCTACCCACAGATTTGTAAAACTTCAGAGAGGGACCGTGAGTAAAATACGTTATCTTTTTTTTTTTTTAAGATTTTGTTTTTATTTATTTGACAGAGATCACAGGTGGTCAGAGAGGCAGGCAGAGAGAGAGGAGGAAGCAGGCTCCCTGCCAAACAGAGAGCCCGATGTAGGGCTCCATCCTAGGACTCTGGCCCGAGCCTAAGGCAGAGGCTTTAACCCACTGAGCCACCCAGGCGCCCCCAAAATACGTTATCTTAAAATGTAAAGCGGCATATTATTACCCCTATCATAATCTAATATTTCAATTTATTGAAAGCTTACTCTGTGAGGCAGTGATCTAAACGCTTTTCCTATTGCATGTAATCTTCACGACAAGCCCATGAGGTGACAAGTATTATCCCCAGTTTACAGTTGAGAAAAATGAGGCATAAAGAAAGTGAAATGATTATCCCAAGGTTATCTGGTCCCTAAGAGATGGAATTTAGGTTTGAACCCAGGCTGTCTCGTTTCAGAGCCCTACTGTGTTGTTAGGAACCTATGGCCTTCAGTGTCCCAGATTAATAATACACATTATGATGAATTTTTAAAATGATTTTTTTCAATATAGACAAAAAGTGATGGTTGTCTCTGAATGATCACTAGAGGGAAGTGTGTTCCAGAGAATTATTTGTTCATCCAAACATCGAAAGGCTAGGCCCTTTAGTAGGCATCTGGTATAGTTAAGCAAGATAGATGTTTCAGCAGCTGATCCCTAGTCCCCACGACTCCCATTGGGAAATGTTGATTAAAGCAATTATGAACATTTGATGTTACTTACCTTTTTGTTCCTCCTGTCAGCTGCTGAAAACATTGCAGCAGCTGTATATTGCTGGTGGACTTGGAGCAAAATTCTAACAGCCTGTATTGTTTCCTTATGCAAATGAAGAGTTGCTATGCTGCTCAGTTTCTATTTCCTGGTTTTCTTAATGCTGCGGGATAGGAACTTAAAAGTATCACATAGACCATTCTTCTGCTTCCAGAAAGAAGTTCTGTATGGTAAAACCCTTTGATGGCCATTTTTTGGTTACTTGATTCCTAGTAAAGGACTTTTATTTCTTTAACTTAGAATTTTCTGGTTTGAAAATAGTTTTCTTTTTTAAAAAAAGTTCTCTGGACTAAAAAGACTTAATCTTCTAACTTAGAGTTTTCTGGTTAAAACCGTTTTCTGGTATATTAGATAAATGGACGACATATTTTGGGACCCTTACATTTTTTGAGATTCTTATGCTCAGGGCATTGAAACTATGGGGTGTAAACCTTATCGTTTGCAAAGGAATTTTGTAGTTTATTATCACCTTTTTTTCAAACATACTATCTTTACTCCAGAAATCTCTCAGTATTAATGCATTATGTTCTATGCTTTGTAAACTAGGGAAAAACTTGAAGTCTTTCTTTTCCATGTGTTGTCTGAAATATAACCAAATTTAGAAAATCATCTGTAACTTCTCTCATAGGAACGCATCCAGATTTTCTACCCCCACTTTTTTTATTAGGTAGGCTCCATACCTAGCGTAGAGCCCAATGTGGGGCATGAACTCATGAGGCTGAGATCAACCAAGAGTTGAACGTTTAACTGACTGAGCCACCCAGGCACCCCAGATTTTTCAAACACTTCTAGAGTCAGGAGATCATTGCTTCAGAAGACCGTGGTTCTTTTATTGATCACTTTTTTTTAAAAAATATTTATTTATTTGACAGAGAGAGAGATCACAAGCAGACAGAGAGTCAGGCAGAGAGAGAGGAGGAAGCAGGCTCCCCGCTGAGCAGAGAGCCCGACATGGGGCTCGATCCCATGACCCTGGGATCATGACCTGAGCGGAAGGCAGAGGCTTTAACCCACTGAGCCACCCAGGCGCCCCTATTGATCACTTCGTAATGTTATTTTTCTCCTTTGTATGGAGTCATAACAGTCTTCCTGTAACTTCCATCTGTTATCCATTCCATCTCTCTCTCTCTGACCAGTCCTTTTCTAACACAGCTGCCAAATATTTGGGAGGAACTATCATGTTCCCCTAAATCTTCTCACTTGGCTCAAATATCTAGTTTTTTTCAAATTGTTCCTTACATCCCCTGTTCTGTAGATCCTTCTCTAACCTGCATATCTCGTGTTCTGTTGTAATTAATCTTCATAAGATGTGCTCAGAATTGCTCACGGTTTGTCACCTGTGGTCTGGTTAGTACAAAGCACAGGTGAGACTCACTGTCACAGAACATTAACTCTGGAAAAAACCATGGATCTCATCTAGTCCAACAACTGCTTCCTGCCTGGAATTAACAGCGAGGTTAAGTGACAGTCACCCAGGGACTCAAGGCTAATTGGTAATAAAGGTGGGGCTGGATCTCAAATCTCCAGATTGTTAATCTACTCTTGGTTTTCCTTCCTTGAATTCAATATACTGTTGATACAGCCTAAAAACATGAAATAGGTGTGGGGAATGTAGTGCTGTAGCCATGTCATATTAGTGACTCACGTTATAATCCACACTGAAATCGTGGGTTGCCATTTGTTCAGGTCTCCTCCAACTCATATTCACTTGAATTCTGGATGCCAAATGTAAAATTTTGCATGTAACTGTTATATTTTAGTTTGTTTTCCTATTCCCTTAGTCCCTATGTATGCAATTGCTGTCTAATGACTAGGCGTCTCCATGGTTCCCTTACCTGTAAGTCCCCATATTCACGTTTGAATCCTGTTCTTCTTTAAGGCTTACGCAGAGATCACATCCAGAAGCCTTTTCTGCCTCCTTACCCCTCCTTTATCCCCTCTACCATCCCCTCCACCAGTCTTGGGTAGATGCCCCTCCTGTGTACTCTCTCAGTGCCCACCGCATGCATCTGTCATGGAATATTCTGCTGTTATTATTTGTTTGGTGTGTCTTTGTCCTCTACTAGGATAGATTTGGTGTCTTAGTCTTCATTTTAGACCCCAGTTTACAAACTGATTCAAATTGATGGGGTATAGCATTTCAGTATGTGTAGGTTGTAGCCATCACCTATCGCCTCAAAAATGCTTCTTCATAACAAGCTACCCCCAAATCAGAGGCTTAGGAAAAAAACATCTATTCTCATGCTTGTGGCTCTGCACATCGACTACAGTCTGATGTATTTTGGGGTCCACTGCTCTGGCCTGTAGGTTGTTTTTAGGCTTGCTCCCTCTGGGTTTATTCTTGGGCTCAGGCCGAGGAACAGCAGCGTCCTGGAGCATGCTCCTGTCCTGCTTTTCTATTTTTCAAAAAATATTAGGACTATTTAAAGTTTTGCTGTCATAAACATTTATATGTCTTATATACATTCTTTAAGTAGAACAGTCCCCCTCCCTCTGTCCTGTAGTCCCTAAGTCTCCTAGAGTACAGACAGGTTCTTTGAATGAAATAAGCAAAGGCCATACCTGTTTTTATTTTCTTTTTATTTTTAATGACCATTATTAACATTTTCTCACTCTCTGGGACATTATTTCTAGGCAGCTGTTGTACTGTGTATGGATGTGGGCTCCGCCATGAGTAACTCCCTTCCTGGCGAAGAGTCCCCATTTGAACTAGCAAGGAAGGTGATGACCATGTTTGTGCAGCGACAGGTAAGTTTTGAGCTTATAACTCTTGTTTTCACTGCTTGTTGTCTCCATTTAGTAACGCAAGATACCAGCCTGCTTATGATCCAGCCTCAGTATTTTTGTTACTTTATATTTTTTCAATTTTTTTTTTAAAGAGAGGACATGAGCTGGGGAGGGGCAGTGGGAGAAGGAGAGGAAGAATCCCATCCCGACTCCATGCTGAGCACAGGGCCCAGCACAGGGATCCTGAGATCATGACCTGGAGTGAACTCAAGAGTCCGATGCTTAACTAACTAAGCAACCCAGGCACCCCCAACCTCAGTGTCTTGGGAATCTGAGGAGTTTTTTAACATATACTTATGTGCAAGTCCAACTGCCACTAGAGCCTGACATTTTTTCTTCCTTTGTTTTGGTCCCTCCATTAGATATTATAGTTTTTTATCAGAAACAAGGCAAAGTAAAAATGTTTACAAATAGTCTCTAGAGCCAGGCGGCCCGGGTTTGCTCCGTCATGACGTTTACTAACCTCGTGATTTTAAATAAGTACTTCAGCTACTTTGTGCCTATTCCAAGTAACCTTTTGCTTATAACGCATTATCCCAAAACTTAATGTCTTAAATTACTTTTTTTTTTTTTTTTAATTATCTCTCCTGGTTTTAAGGGATGGCTGGGTGGCTCAGTTTGGCTTCTTGGGGTCGCTTGTGCAAGGGCATTCAGATGTTGGCTGGGCTGAATCACTTGAAGGCTAAACTGAGCTGGACACCTAAGATGGCTCACCCTCATGGCTAGAAGTTAAATCTTCTGATGGCTCTGAGCTCAGCTGGGGCTGTCCATCAGAACCCTTGCATATGGTCTTTCCATGTAGCTTGGGATTCCTACAGGGTGGCGGAAGGTTCTAAGAGTGGTTATTCCAAGAGACCTGCCTGTATGGCTTTTTATGACCTCGCTTTAGAAATCCAAGAAGGTCATTTCTGCTGTTAGGAGCCAAGCGAGTCACTTAGACTAGCTCACATTCAGGGGGGTCAGGAATGGGATGAATAAGATTCCCCTGTTGATTTCTGTCCCTTCTTGGTATGACTGCTACTTTTCCTAAACCCATGAAGTTCTGCCTTATTCACTGGCAGCTCCTACTCCTCCTGGACACCTCCGTTGTTTCTTCTGGGTGCTGCCCTTTTAACTAAGCACTATGACATCCCACCTGTCTCCCTTGATTTTAACAAATTTTGATGACCTGGAGTCCTCGATATGTCAAGAAGAGAATGCCTCTAACCCCATTCCTAGTTTTAGTAATTTGAGTTATTTGCATTTAAGTCCTATGTCTCAATGTGTAGATTTTTTAAATTTGTTTTTTATTTTATTATTTATTCATTATTATTATTTTTTAAGTAGGCTCCTTGCCCAATGTGGTGTTTGAACTCACAACCTTGGGATGGAGAGTTGCATGCTCTACCAACTGAGCCAACCAGACGCCCCTAGATTTTTTTTTTTTTAAGAGAAGCCGTTCTTGCAGTTTTTCTTTTTGGCTCTGCCTCTTCCTTGGGAGTCTGAATCTGGAAGGCTGGGTAACAGCATCTGGTGCCAGTCTCATGCTGCATTCAAAATTTCCTTCCCTTTCCTGGCTGAGATTTTGTTGTTGAGCAAGATTACCTTGCTTTAGGATGAAGTCTTGTCCAGGACAGAGGTAGAATTCTAGTTGGGCTGCCCCATTGCTGGACATGTTTGAACCTCAATAACTAGGATTTTTTTTCTGCCTGGTGCAACTGGGAATTGTATCTGGAATTATTAGCATGCTGGGTGCTTTAACAGACCAAACAATAATAAAGATTGATAGAATTCCATCCTCTTCCCGGGCAGCATTCTTCCCACCGATGGAAAAGTCTTAGGTTAGGTAGGTGGGAACAGGACTGCCTTTTGTGTCAGACACTGTTTTTTATTTTTACATTTTCTTATGAAATGTTTCAGGGCACCTGGGTAGCTCAGTTGGTTAAGGGTCTGCCTTTGTCTCAGGTCATGATCCCAGGATCCTGGGATTTAGTCCCAAGTCAGGCTCCCTGCTTCTCCCTCTCGTCCCCACTCCTGCTCTCTCTCGCTCTCTCTCACTATCTTTGTATCTCTTTCTCTCAAATAAGTAAATCTTAAAAATAAAATAAAAATAATTAAAAAGAAGAAGTGATTCATAAAAGAGGCAAATACAGAGAATAATATAATGAAAAGCTATTTTTCCATTATCTAGCACTATACACTAAGTTCTGCCACATTTGATTGATTTCTTTTTCTTTTTTTCTTAAAAATAGTTACAAATAGGGGCCCCTGGTTGGCTCAGTCATTAAAGCTTCTCGGCTCAGGTCATGATCCTGGGGTGCTAGGATGAAGCTCTGTGTTGGGCTCCCTGCTCAGTGGGGAGTCTGCTTTCTTCCTCTGCCCTCTCCCTGCTTGTGTGTGCTCGCTCTCTCAAATAATTAAATAAAATCTTAAACACACACACACACAGAATAATTACAGATAAACTTGAAGCACTCTGTATATCCCTTCCCAGTTCTCTCCTTTCCTCTTTTCCTCAGAATTTGCAGCAATTACTATGCATATTTTATACTTTTGGATGTAAGCATATTCATAAATAATATTTAGTATCATGAAACTTTCAAAAATGTGTGTAATGTTTTTATATGGTACATATAATTCGGCAACTTATTTTTTCTCAACCTTATGTTTTTAAGATTTACTCATCCTGATAAGCATGCACAGATTTATTCATTTTTTCACTGAGGTGTAATATTTTGTTCTCTATTCTGTAGTGTGTTTTTGCATTCTATGGATGGGTAGTTAGTTTGTTTCCACTTCTCTCCTGTTATGAACAGTGTCCAAGTGAACTCTCTTGAAGTGAATGTTCGTGTCCTTCTCTTCTTAAGTACATCATGGGAGAATTTCTCTATGGTATATATACCTGTGAGTGAAATTGCTGGGATACAGGACATGAACCAACAGTTATTTTTCTAATCCTCTGGAAAATTGAAACCTGAGTCATCATTCCAGAAGGATAGATTAAAATAATTTCAAATTATCCATAATTAATTTTCATTGAGAATTAGAGTCTGATTTGGCTGGACGACACCAAGAGCAGTTACCAGTCTCCACTCCCCTACGTCCAAATTCTGTTGAAATGAATGATAGGATCTATAGAATGTCTTCTTAGAGGCTAGGATTGTCTATCATCCCGTGGACCATCTGGCCTAGTGTTCTGTTGTTGACAGTGACCCCAGGGACATGCCATAGCGAGGTATGATTGTCTTACTCCCTGAAGGTTAGGTATCTACTGGCTTCTGGGTGGTACTCAATGATTCTTAACCTTTTAATGTTCTTCTCTAGGTGTTTGCTGAGAGCAGGGATGAAATTGCTTTAGTCCTTTTTGGTACAGATGGCACTGAGAATGCCCTTGCTGGTAAGGATCAGTATCAGAACATCACAGTGCACAGACACCTGATGCTACCAGATTTTGACTTGCTGGAGGACATTGAAAGAAAAATCCAACCAGGTTCCCAACAAGCTGACTGTATCCTTTTTCAGCCAGAGAAGACTCTTACGAAATTTCCTTTAAACTGGGGAATCATAATCTAGTTTGGTGAGGCTCCCTAGAGTCCCAGCTCGAGAATATGGATGTTTTTGGCTCTAGGAACATGGAGGTGGTGTATGTTAGGATTTAATGTGAAATTAATAAGTTTGGATTGGGCCCTCCAGTCACTTACCCTTTCTCTCTGTTAGTGATACTGGGGACTTGGGAGGTACCATAAGGGGAAGATACCTGTGGGTATATTTTTCTATTGATATGTGCAGAGGGATTGGTGGTGGTGATGGTTAGAAATGTTTGGATGCAGAGAAGATAATAGTAGAATAAAGCAGTAGTGTTCTCAGTGCTTTCCTGGACAGAGGGTATTTTTGTTGCAAAAATCATTTAAATGTATATTTAGATAAATGATATCTAAACCAAGATTTGCAATTTCTTCCACAGATGCTATGATTTTAAGGGCTTACTCTTTTGTAAACAGTAATGGTATCCCTGGTCACTGGGAGGTGTTCTTGCGCTGAGTGACTTACAAATGCTAAATTATACCTCACTTCATCTTTAAGAGTAGACTGTAATCACCACAGATCGATTCTAGAGATAGTAAAATGGCATCATAATTTTTGTCTCCATAATTGGGAATATGGTAGATTACCTTCCAAATAAACTTTGGAAGAAGGGCAATTTGGCAAGTACTTTTAAATCATCACAGAGTCAGCCCAGAGTCCACAGTTTCAAGCCCTGTGGACCTCACTGGAAAGAAGTTGCATGTTCTTGGGATAAAGGGTCTCTTTAGTGCTATCTTCTGCCCTTAACTAGCCAAGTCCTGGATGCACTCATTGTGTGCATGGATGTGATTCAACGAGAAACTGTGTAAGTGTCTCAACTGAAGAGAGGTGGAAATGAGCTTCTCGGCTAAAATTACATGTTGATGTATTCTGTGCGTTGTGTGATTTCATTGTAATCGAGCTGCATGTTTCTGTGGCTAAGGAAACATTTGATAGAATTCAGTGGTCCAGTTCGCCCTTTATTTTTTAAGTTTAAAAAGAGGAAGGGCTATAGTTGATGGGAATGTCTCTGGGAGAAATAAATGTTTGGCTTATTTTAAGTTCCTTCCTTATTTGACTTAAGTTAATTACCAGGAACTTAAAAAAAAAGTTAGATGGTGTTGTTCTTAATCTTGCTGAATTAAATGCATGAAACTAATATAACACCATATGTTAACTAATTGGAATTAAAAACTTAAAAAAAATTTTAAAAGTTGTAGTATTAAAAAAATTAAAATTTTTTAAATTAAAGTTTTTTTAATTAAAAATTTTTTAAATTAAATTTTAATTCATTACTTGTTTAATTGCTGTGCCTTTAAAATGTGGGTCTTGGAGGCACTGGGTGGCTCAGTGGGTTAAGCCTCTGCCTTCAGCTCAGGTCATGATTCCAGGGTCCTGGGATTGAGCCCCGCATTGGGCTCTCTGCTCAGCAGGGAGCCTGCTTCCTCCTCTCTCTCTGTCTACCTCTCTGCCTACTTGTGATCTCTGTCTGTCAAATAAGTTAAAAAAAAAAAAAATCTTTAAAATGTGGGTCTTTGAATATACACACACCCACCCATCCCTTGACTGTTAGGAAGAACATTTGCACAAAATCTGGGGCCTAGATTTGTATTATCATTTCTCAATCTCTGTACATATTGTGTAAAGTCCTGCACCTGGCCCTGTGAGTGGAATCTGACCAGGGTATTTGGAAAGTGAACCCTTGCAAGGCTGATGTAGTTACTGGGAGAATTCCTTGTTTACATTTTGGCTAAGTGGAGGCTGGAAAAAGGGATCCTTTCTAATCACAATGACCACATCATTAACTGAAGTTAGAGTTGGAAAATCAGGGATTTAATATTTCCATATTGCTCAAAAATTTTGATTATATGTTTCGTAGGTTGTAGTTACTTGATTATATGTTAGTAGGAACTTAACTGAGCATCAGTGATACGTGGGATTCTAGAATGTAATCACATTTGTTAACTATCTAGGTTAATTTCTTAGCCTCTTTCTGCTCGTTGGCCAAGTACATTTGGGTTTGTGGGTAGTAATTCAAGAGAATGATTTCTTACTGTAATAACTCTCTCTTTTAGAGGAAAGAAGTTTGAGAAGAGGCATATTGAAGTGTTCACTGACCTCAGCAGCCCATTCAGCAAAGATCAGCTGGATGTTATAATCCATAACTTGAAGAAATTTGGCATCTCCCTGCAGTTCTTGTAAGACCATGAGAATAATGTCTGAAGACCAGTCCTGCACTCCCATAACACAGGGAGTGGGGTCCCTTTCTAGAGTGCTTGGTTCCCAGGAGTCTCTCTGTGCTTAGAGTCGAAATATGTCAGATGACTGACTTCCGCAAACGTTCACGAGAGTACCCGCTGTTCCAGGAACCCTTGAGTTTTAGTGATGAAGGGATGAAAGTCACAGTATCAGATTGTTTGTTGGCTCTTCTTAGACTCAAAGAATTGAGGAAACTTTTGAGGATATTCAGTTTATCCCCTGCCTATGTAGAGGACTTTATCCAAACAATTCCCAGATTGGTGGTTTCTTTTGTTCAATAGCTCTAGAGTACTCTATTTTGCAGGCAGTAGCTGTTTTTAGGGTAGAGACAGATCTCAACATGAGAATCATTTTAAACACATAGAATGTTTATCTGTAAGTCTTTTTCAAATCTAAAGGATATGCACATGTATGTAAAATGTAATTTGCTTTTGTGTATTTAGAAATGGGGTATGCAGATTCCAGGCAAAAATGTTCAAAGAAGGGGTGCCTGTGTGGCTCTCAGTCAGTTAAGCCTCTGACTCTTGATTTTGGCTCAGATCACGATCTCAGGGTTGTGAGGTTTAGCCCTGCACTGGGCTCTGTGCTGAGCCTGGAGCCCGCTTAAGATTCTCTCCATCCCTCAGCCCCTCCCCCCACCCCGCACTAGCACACACTTTCTCTCTTAAAAAAAAAAAAAAGTACACAAAATATTTCACCATTTATTGCAAGACAGAAACTCTCCTTGCCCAATAACTTGAATGCCCCCCCTTCCCACCCCAGGCATTTACTTTCTTTATCTTCTGTCCCTAACAAGAAAGGTGGTTTTTGTTTTTTTTTGTTTTTACCACACTGATCATTCCTGCTGCATTTGAAACTTGTCTTATCTTGTCCTATTTTTGGTGAAAGCAGAGTAATGGTATAGGATGTTGACTTATTAGTCTTCTGGGGACACTCATTTTCCAGATTGAGAGCTATACCGGGAAGCCTCCAGCTCAGAACGATAAGCCTTTGGCTTCTTTGAAAGGCCCGTTGTAGGGAATTAAGAACCTCTCTTGCATGTATGTACCTCTTAAGACTGCAGAGGGGCATCTCCTTTCTGTAGAACTGTAAAAAATAGTTCAGAGTAACCCATCAAACTGATACTTGTTAAGATAGTACTTCAGAGAAATTAAGTGCTTTTTAAGTGACACTTCTCTTCGTATTGAGTTGAGGTTTTCACAGTACTTCAAAAGCCCTGCCTGGCTCCTCTTCCCTGTTCATAATTTCAGGATGCCTTTACATGGTTGAAGCCTACTGCACTTCTGTCAATGTCATTGGAAAGGGCTTTTTTGCCTGAGTGATACTGTAAAGTGTGTCGAAGAAGGAATATAGCCTTGTCGTCTATCCCTGCTTAGTTGACCCATTGCATTTTTTCCCTTGGGCATTACGCTCTATTCCTATGCTATAAATCTCCAGCATAACAAAGTGAAGTTTCTGGTTTTATTGTTTGATGTATCCCAGATATGACTGCTCGTTCCAGTTGGGACAGGCCCAAGCAGCACTGCATTCTGAGCAGGCTCATCTCATTCCTTGGACCTTGTTTTAGTTTCTTCTATTGGCTGTTGTGAAAGTGTCTGTGTGGTCAAAAGCAGGGTAGAAAGAACTGTTACTGTAACTTCTTTTTCTAGGAGAGCTTCCCGTCTCTCCCGATTTTCAATCTCACTCCCCTCTTTGTTCAGGTTACTGTGGTAGAAATAGCAGCAGCCTGGTACCGAACCTGTGTGCCATACAGTGCTCCCTGGAGGCTCTTTATCCAGCAGGTCTCACAGGACATCTGTGCCTGTCATGAGGAGTACATGTAGAAACATTTAAACAGGGAGCACTGTTTGCATTATAGCAAATCAAATAGTAAAGAAATTACCTTAAAAATAACCATCCACATGGGGGTGACCAGTAGGTGATGCTGAGTGAACTGAAAAGTCTGCTCTTTGGGTTTTAGGGGGAGTGAGGTGATACGCTGCCTTGGAAAGAACTTTATCTTTTGATCAGGGGACAGTCTTTGCTGTGTCACTCATTGGCTGTGTGGCTTGGCCGGATTGGTCTGCCTCTGTAGCTTCAGTTGCTTTTTAGGACGTGGAGATAGAAATCTCTGTCCACTTAAAAGGATTAAATGAGGTTGTTTACATGAAAGCATTTAGAAAGTGCCATATACAGTATTACCATAAAATGTGTTTGGTTGGTTGACTTTTCATTTTGTATATTGATTATTGAATATCTCTGTGACTGGTAATCGCAATCTAGTTTTAGTCTCACTTCAAACAACTGGAGTGGAACACAAGAACAAAATAGGTTTTCCCTATTTCCAGCAATTAAGTGATGTCTATTTGGGAATTCTAGATCTACAGTAATAAAGGTAACATGTGTTTAAGTATTTTGTACACATTCTATCATTTAATTCTTCATAATAACATCAAGGGATCATTAAAGGCTATTTTATTTTATTTTTTATTATTCTTTTTGGCTGCCTAGAATAGCGCCCACCTCTTTCTAGGAAGCAATTCTTCCTACACTTTAACCTCATGGCTCAGCTGAGAGCCAACATCTTCTAGTCCCCAGGCTACCACTGCTACCTGTCTTGTTTGAATTTATGACTGATGCGTATAGCATTAGATACTCAGTCCATTCCTCTTTGGTAGTAGAGCTGGACAGTATGTGCTCGAATGCGCTCAGAGACAATGTGGAGGAAGCCAGTCAGAGAGTGAAGCCACATGAAGGCACATGGAGACAACATGGAGACAGTGAGAGGGTCAGGTAGTCCTTAATGTGGTTGAGACTGGATCCAGTCCTCCTAAGGCATGTGCAGTCCTGCACTTCCAATTATTTGGTTATGTAAACCAACGAATTCCCCCCTTTAGCAAACCAAAAAGGCTTCAGTCACTTGAAACTAATAGAATATTGACTAAGTTCGATAAGTGCCATTTGACAGATGAGAAATTTAAAGCTCTGATGACCGACATGCCCGTTTTGTCGTAGCTAGTGATCCACAGTCACAGGGTTGGAGCCCAGCTTATTTCTTGCCCTCAGAGTTTGTCTTCTTAACTACTGCTCATTTTTTCCTGATAGTTTGCCTTTCCCCGTTGGCAAGGAGGATGGAACTGGGGACAGGGGAGATGGGAACTCACGCTCAGACCACCATGGACCCTCCTTTCCTCTAAAAGGAATTACTGAGCAGCAAAAAGAAGGTATTCGGATGGTGAAAAAGGTGATGATGTCTTTAGAAGGTGAAGATGGGCTAGATGAAATTTATTCCTTCAGGTAAGAAGTGAAAACATCGATTGCAACTTTCAATAGTGACTCTTTTGATCGGGGCTCCCTAATTAGCTACTCTTGAATTAGCTGCCATTATTCAATAAATGTTCTGACTTTTATTGAAGAAACAGTGCACCAACCCCCTATCCCTTTTTCTGTTTGTGTGGTCAGAACAAGACTTCAAATTTTTCATTTGTAAGTATTTAAGTACCCAATATAGGGTGCATAAATGAAATAGATGACAAATAAATGGAATAGAGACAAAAAGACTATAGAAAAGATCAATAAAACTAAGAGCTGGGGGTGCCTGGGTGGCTCAGTGGGTTGAAGCCTCTGCCTTCGGCTCAGGTCGTGATCCCAGGGTTCTGGGATCGGGCCCTGCATTGGGCTCTCTGCTCAGCGGGGAGCCTGCTTTCCCCTCTCTCTCTCTCTGCCTGCCTCTCTGCCTACTTGTGATCTCTGTCTGTCAAATTTAAAAAAAAAAAAAAAGAACAGAACTTCTGGTTTATTTCCAGGACAGTGTGTTTGAAGTTTGGAAATGTATAGATACCGCAAAAGATTTAACAAGTCAGAATGTAAAAGATGAGATAGTAGATTTCTCCTTTATGCCAAGTTTGGGACGCAGTTCGTGGGCCCTTTCTTTTTATTCACCTGCAAAATACATTCCTAATTCTGAAAAGTGGTTTCAGATCTGAAATGGTATCCTCTTAATCTCTGATTTAGGTTTTAAGAGATGGCATACTTAACTGTAATAGACTTTTTTTCTTTAAAAGACTTTTAAAAAAATTTTTGGTCAGAAAATAGTTTGTTCAGACAAAACAAAACAAAACATCCAAAATATAATTAATTTATAATCTATATCTTTTATGTGGGTTTTGTAAAGGCAAAACAATTTTAAAAATGTGAAATCCTTGAAGTACTGTTTAACAGTAAAGCAAACTGCCTTTGCAACCTTTCAGTTAGAGACAATGGGAGAGACTGTGTTAGTCTCCATGTTAGTATTCTTGGTTGGAATTGGACATGGATTTATTCTGAGCAAAGAACCCAAAAAGGTTTGAGGAGCCTGACTTGGGAAAAGTAGCAGTAGAACACTGTATAGTGTGGCTTGTGGAATTTCATGTTCTGCAGGAGAGTACTACTTAATTCCTGTTCATCAATAAACACACAAAATACAGGCATTTTGAGCAGAGTTCTAAACTGAAATAAAAGTTCAGCAATTGAGATATTTTTGAGTAGTTAGGTGATACATACCCCAATTTTTTTCTCAGCCATAATTTTGAAATTTTAATATTTTTAATATATTACAAGAAATACAAACAGTAATCCTGATTTTCTAAATACATACACCCTTGAAAAATTAGGTAATGGGAATTTTAGAAATTGAATTGTAGTTTCCATAGGGGTTGGAAAAGGAATCAGTAAGGAATCCTGTAAAGTGACGTTTCTTATCATAATACGTGTTCTTACTGTACTGTGCGCAGATATGCGCTTCTAACTTCTTTCTTTCAAATTTGGACATGGCTTGCTCTGATGTCAGACTATAGGTCTTAAACTAAGAAATTCACCATGACATGATAAATAAAAATTGTAGGCCTAAACAAATTAATGTTTAAAAAGTTTATTTTCCTGTATCATAGCTGGGAGGGAAATTACATGTATTGTCCTCACAATTTGAAGATACTTTGATTTGATACAACAGCCATTATCCACATGTGGCTACTTAAATTTGAATACATTAAAATTAAATAAAATTAAAGATTTAGTCCCTTGGTCACTCTAGCCACATTTCATGTGCTCAGCAGCCTTTTGGACAGGCACGGTTAGAAATAGAACATTTCTATCATTGCAGAAAGTTTTACTGGATAGCCCTGGGCCAGACTTGTCCTCATCTAGACTTCTGCTTGGGGAGATTCAGGTCTACTGCAGAAATGATCCACTTGTTCTCAGATGTTATGTATTAGATGCTAATTTTTAGAAATTCTCTTGGAGCTGAATTTAAAACTTACAGTGGTTTTATATGTGACTCAAACTAGTAATGTCCTATGGATATGTTAGATCTGTTTCAGACCCCTTCATTCCTCAATAGTCCAAAGCTAAGAAATATCATTAACTTTGTTTATTTGTTTGTTTATTACCATAGACTGGAAGTAGGGTGCCAGGTAGAATATCTACTGTTTGTTATGGATTATTTCTGAAAATTGGAGTCTTTTGAAACCTCTTTGTCCATAACTCTGAATAATATCAGATAATTCTCTACCTTTTTGTAGATTTGTTTTGCATTTGTGCCAAGGGAATTGATCTTGGTCTGGATTATATGCCCCCCCCCCTTTTTAAAGATTTTATTTATTTATTTGTGAGAAAGAGAGAGCGAGAGAGAGTACAAGCAGGGAGAGTGGCAGGCAGGGGGAGAAGCAGGCTCCCCAGTGAGCAAGGAGCTGGACATGTGGCTCAATCCTAGGACCCTGGGATCATAACATGAGCTGAAGGCAGATGCTTAACTGACTGGGCCACCCAGGCGTCCCTGGATTATATGCTTTGAATGTGTTTGGTCATTGGTTTCTTTCTTAGTGAATATAACAAATTCCAAGTATTTCCTATAATCTTGTCTATTGTGTTTGATTAGGGACCAGATAAAAATAGAATTGATCTTCATTTATGTTTCAAATAAAGTAACCCTTTACATTGTGTTTGTTACTTCCCAATTCCCCATCCCCATCCAGTAGAAAACTTGGAATTAACCTGCTTTATCTTAAGACTAAATATGGACTAAATTCCTTTATTCCCTGGAGGGTCTTTATTTAACTCTCTCCATTGTGTATATATATGTACTTTTATTTAAGGTGATTGGAATGAAGTAATAAGTTAGAGAGTTATGAGCAGTGATACTTTGGAATGGGACTCGCCCTTTAATATCCTGAAGCCAGAGGTTCTTATATCTAGGTCCATGGTTTTCAGGGAGCTGGTGATCCCTTTAAATTGTGGGCAAACTCTAATAAGTGTGCTTTTATCATATCTTTAACATGTCCTTGGTCTTGAAAAAGTCGTTAAGAACCAGGGGCTGAGTTGAAAGAGAAGATTGAGTAGGGGAAGATAGAGATATTCTTTTTCACCTGTCGGTAATGTAATTCAACTTCTTCCTCCTAAGCCAACTCAGTTGTATTCTGGCTCTCTCCCAACTGGTGGTTGTCATTTTCCTGCCATCCCTTGCTGTTCCTCTCATAATGATCAATGACAACTTGCTTCTTGTTCTGGAAAATTAACTGCATCACCCAGCAAAGTTAATGTTTTAAAATTGTTTTTGTTACATGTGTATTTTTTCGTTGTGTATATAATACATATTTTATTAAGTGAGAGTTACATATATGTTTATTTTTTATTTAAGTGAGAGTCTGAGACAACTGTGTGTCTTTAAGAAAATTGAGAAGCGTTCGATTCCTTGGCACTGCACACTGACCATTGGCTCCAGTTTGTCTATAAAGATCGTGGCTTATAAATCGGTAGGTGATACTTACACATTTTTAATTTTCAATTTTTAATTTTTAAAATTTTTTTATTTTTAAGTAATCTCTACACCTCGCATGGGGCTCAAATTCACAGCTCCATGATGAAGAGTTGTACGCTCTACCAGCTGAGCCAGCCAGGCACCCCGCCACACTCATATTTTTTAAAGCAATGCATCAGGCAGGCAAATATGCTTATATAAGGAACTGCCAATTCATTTGTGAGTTATTCACTACCATAATTATTGCCTCTCTAACTGTTCTCCCTGTTCATCTCATCTCTCTTTAGCTTTTTTATGTAAAATGCATTTAGGATAGAAAATTTTAAAAATCATCTGTAATCCAGATTGATTCCTTCCTTTCTCTTACTTTTTTTTTCTTTTTTTTTTTAAGATTTTATTTATTTATTTGTCAGAGAGAGAGAGGGAGAGAGAGCGAGCACAGGCAGACAGAATGGCAGGCAGAGGCAGAGGGAGAAGCAGGCTCCCCGACGAGCAAGGAGCCCGATGTGGGACTCGATCCCAGGACGCTGGGATCATGACCCGAGCCGAAGGCAGCTGCCTAACCAACTGAGCCACCCAGGCATCCCACTTTTTTTTCTTTTTTGAAAGAAAATGGAATGCATGAAATCATGTCACTGTAGTATCATAGCAGAAATACAGATACACACCAAAGAAGTCCAGAATTTTGAAAACTCAGTCTCACCCAGTTCATTATTAACAATCTGGCAGTAACAGCATCTGTAAACTGTCAAAAACTATTGACTTGTGACTGTGAAATTGCTTTTTGTAATCTCTGTATATGTGTACAAAATAGCACACTTTCAAAAATAAGTTGCTTTTGGTGATTATTTGATGAAATATTTGTACAAAAAAGCACACTTTCGAAAGTAAGTTGCTTTTGGTGATTATTTGATGAAATTGCAGTTTGAGTAGGAGTCTGCGATCTGTGCCTCTATGTGACCTTTCTTGCCTGTTTTCTTTAAATGAACATACAAACTAGACATATACAAACATACATCTAAGTGTAGAAAATACACAAAAAAATGTTTATATATTCAAGTATTCTTTTTATATTCAGGGCCTTAATTCTAAAACACATGCTACATCCATGAAAACCTTGGAGGGTGCTTCTTTTTTTCAGCTGCCATCAAGACCTGGAATAGAATACAGTCTTCTCTCTTTTTTTTTTTTTAAAGGAGATTTAAAAATTTTTTTAAAATATTTTATTTATTTATTTGTCAGAGAGAGAACAAGCAGAAGCAGGGGGAGCAGCAGGCAGAGGGAGAAACAAATGCCCCGCCGAGCAGGGAACCCAATACAGGACTTGATCCCAGAACCCTAGGATCACAACCTGAGCTGATGGCAGATTCTTTTTTCTTTTCTTTTTTTTTTTTTTTTTAAAGATTTCATTTATTTATTTGACAGAGATCACAAGTAGGCAAAGAGGCAGGCAGAGAGAGAGAGGGGGAAGCAGGCTCCCTGCTGAGCAGAGAGCCTGATGCGGGGCTCCATCCCAGGACCCTGAGATCATGACCTGAGCCGAAGGCAGAGGCTTTAACCCACTGAGGCACCCAGGCGCCCCTGAAGGCAGATTCTTTTTTTTCTTTTTTTTTTTTTTTTTTAAAGAGAGAGGGGGAATCAGACTCCCCGCTGAGCAGAGAGCCCGATGTGACACTCAGTCCCAGGACCCTGAGATCATGACCGGAGCCGAAGGCAGAGGCTTAACCCACTGAGCCACCCAGGCGCCCCTGAAGGCAGATTCTTAACTGACTGAGCCACCCAGGCGTCCCTCCTCTTCTTTTTTTCCTAGTTTTCTTTCTGGATTTCCTTATTGAGTTCTGGCTCCTGATGGACGGCTCTCCCTTTCCTCTCTGTTGGAAAACTAGTAACAATGTGTGGTCCCATTTTATGAGTCTGAAGGTTTTGTATAGAAAATGCTTATGTGTGTATAAGTAATATTTATATGTGGATTACCTTAGGGGGAAAAATGAAATGCAGAAAGAGTTATGAAATAAATGAAAATTTCCACAGTAAGCCAAAGCAAACAGAATGGTTTAGCTAGAGTAATTGTTACAGATTTTTTCTTATAAAGCAGAGAATATATGGGGTTTTCATTTTTTCATTAGAATCCTGGCTTTCCTTGTTTTCCCTTTATTTTTCTTTTTGGCATTAAGATTATACAGGAGAGAGTTAAAAAGTCTTGGACCGTTGTGGACGCCAGAACCCTCAAGAAAGAAGATCTACAGAAAGAAACTGTTTATTGCTTAAATGATGACAATGAAACAGAGGTCCCGAAGGAAGACACTATTCAAGGTGCGCCTATGAGAGAGCTGCTTCAGGGTAGTGGGAGGCCGACTTGGGTTTGTGCTGGTAGTGTTGGTGGATATTTTTCTCAGTTCTAGAGACATGACCATGGGAGGGACCATGAGGCACTAGGTTCCTGAATTAAGCTCATCTGTTGGGTCCGAGGCAGGATGGTTCCCAGGATGCACTTGGGTACTCCCTCTGGGATCAACATGTCCTCCAGTGACAAGACTTAATACTTGGTTTTATTTTAAAGTTTGAAACATACTAGCTAAGAGAATACTTCTATTAATGTGGCCAAAGCGAGTTTCTTTGTTTACTTCTGTGGTGATTATTTTTCTGAGTGCCAATTTCAGGTCTTGCAGATCTTGCTAGCTCTGCTCCCTTCAGGTAGTTTAGGGGATCAGAAACGTTTGTGTCCATTATATGGCTTTATGTTCACGAGGTTATTTACAGTTGTGCTTCACATATTATACATTCAATCTGTGTAGTATGTCTGGAGGGCACCTCTCTCCAGAGGGCTTACAAGTTAGCTGAGAGTGTCTGAATTTTCAAGAGCTAAAATTACAAGATACCAAGATGGTTAAGATAGAAGCCAGTCTTTAGATAAATTCATTGCCAGGCTTTGTGTTAATTTGCAAGCCTTGAAGAAAAGCCTTTCGTCTGTGGCACTAACTCTCAGTGTTTGTGTGTAGTGTGGAGGAGAGTGGTTGTGATTCCTTTCTTTTTCCTGATCGATTATGAGTAGAAAATGTAATTAGTATCCTGCAATCCCTACTAATTCTTTAATTCAGTTCCATATTATAGTGTGGTTACAAAATGTGAATTTTGGAGTCAGACCTGGGTTAGAATCACGCCTCCGTCAGTTACTAATTGTATGATCCTCCTATAATGACTGAAAGAAAGAAGAGGATGTTTAAAGGCATAAGACCAGGAAAGTAGAGGGCTTCTCAGGGACAGCAGGTAGTTGGGCTGGTGTGTCCGCCTACACGGTGTAGTACTTGAAGTGATATCCCATAGACCAGCCTCATGAAACAGGCATCACATTCTTGTTTCCGTTTTACAGATGAGAGAATTGAGGCTGAAAGACACTCATTCACGTATTCAAAGTCCTGCAGCTAGCAACTGGCCGAACTCGAACCCAGGACTGCCGTACTTCAGAGTCTGTGTTTCCGCAGACTGTTCTGAATTAGGAAGGGCTTTGAGTGACAGGCTGAAGAGTTGATGCTTAACCGTGAAAGCAACCTGGAGCTGTTTCTAGTTTGGAGGAGCAGAGTGTCATTGAGACTGTGTATTAGGAAGATTAATATGGTGGAGATAAGGTGCCAGTTCTTTTGGTTGCAAGCAAAAAAAGCCAAAAACCAAAAAACAAAACCAACCCAGCTCTGTTTATTTTAGGCAAAAAGGACATTTATTCACTTCTTGCTGGAGCAATGGAGAGGGAAGAAGTAAATATTGAGTTCAGAGGGCACAGAGGCAGCTTTTGTCTTGTCCCTTGGTGCAGCTACCCACATACTTCCTTTGCCGGTCCTCCACTCTCTGCCCCCTGTTGGCAGACACAGGCCCAGCAGACCTATGTGTGCAAAGGAATATGGTTTTATGTTGCAGTCTATTCTGTGCTTTTTGCCATGTACAAAATTTAGGTGCTGATTTTTTTCCTTTCAGTAGATGAACCAGAAAACACAAGGCAGTTTTAATTAGAATTTTCAAGTTAAAAAATTCAAGTAAGATGTCTTGTGACTGGCAAGAGTTAGGAAAAACATTTGGTTTAGTTACCACTATTAGTCATGTGCCATACATTTCCCTGATAATTTTTTTTTTAAGGTTTATTTATCTATTTGAAAGAGAGAGTGGGAGAGAGCACAAGCAGGGGGAGCCTGATGCAGGACTCGATCCCAGGACTCTAGGATCATGACCTGAATCAAAGGTAGACGCTTAACCAACTGAGCCACCCAGGCACCCCTCCCTGATAATTTTTTGTTGGGGTTTTTGCTTTCATCACCAGCTTTTTAAAAAGACATATATGAAAATACAAAATTTATTTTTTTAATTAAATGTGTGGCATCAGCAGATTAATAGGAACAGGTAAACTGGATCACAGATTCTGCCCCAAACAAAGAAGTTTCTTTGTTTCTTGGAATAAAGGTGCACGTGCTTTTCCTTTCCATTTACCCAAGGCCAGAATCCTTGAGATTTGATACTTGTTCTCCCCACCAAATACAGAAGACTGTATATTGAAAGGGCACAACTTTCCATAGAACAGAGGCCTTGGAACAGGACTGGAGTTATTTTTAAGAAACTAAGAGCCTGTATTTATATGAATTTGTGTGAATAACCAAGTAATTAAAAAGGAAAAAACATAATATAATCCCAGAAATGAAGTAAATTTAAATGCAGAAAAATAGCCAACTTATCAATTGAATGTTCCTAAATAGAAGAGTTTTGGCTTCTCCCATTAGGCATTTGTATGTCTTCAGCATGCATTTTGGAGAACATTTTATTCTGAAAATTTCCTTTGGGCATTTTTCTCTGCGGGTCTCCAGGTTTCTGAATAAATGTGTTCTTGTTATTATGTTTACAAATCACACTTGTACTTCAGTCAACCATAGTTTATCTTTGGAGGATAACTGATACATTACATTTGCTACATTCTTTCTTCTAGGCTGGAAAATCATTAAGGTAACTAGATTGCAGAAGATGCTACTTAAAAAATGTAATTAGATTTTAATCACCTCTATACTGTATATATTGTTTCTGTATCTGCCACTACTTTTTCCCCACTGATCACAAGGGGCAGTAATTTGATTCCAGGGAACAGTATATGGAGGCTTGATCTGGAGTATGCAATTATTGTTAATGTATGCGTAGGGCTAATTTCAACTTGTAGAAAATGAGGCCTCATATGCTTAACAGATGCTCTTCTCTTGTTCTCCAGGGTTCCGCTATGGAAGTGATATCATTCCTTTCTCTAAAGTGGATGAGGAACACATGAAGTATAAATCGGAAGGGAAGTGCTTCTCTGTTTTGGGATTTTGTAGATCTTCTCAGGTATGGCACTTACTCTTACTCGTTGTCAACAAAAGAAATGAACTTTTCTCTTAGTGTTATTTGAGAGGGTATGCTTTCAGTTGGTCCTTTTATTTGTGATGTGTATTTATTTCATTTTTAGATTTGTTTGAGTGTAGTTTGGGGATTAGTGTCAACTATCTTCAGTTTTTGAATAGAGAAACCAAGATACAGAAAAGTCGAGTAGTCTTAGCATGAATCAGAATATATTCCATTGAAAGTCTTCTTAGCTTGGCTGTCAGTCTTGGCTTACAGTAGCCTTAAAGAAACATCATTCAGTTCTCTGCTACTGTGCTGCTTTCTCTAAACTGTTGTGTGTAATAGAGTGTCTTAGAGGAATGAAGGTCTGCTTGGGTTTTGAATGACCCCAGGCCTCTTAGAATGTCACTGGTTTATGCTGGGCACCCTTCTGTACACCCAACAAGGAGGTCTAGGATCTGAAGCCTGTCCTTAAGTCATACATTCTTTTTTTCTTTTTTTTAAAGATTTTATTTGTTTGACAGAGAGAAATCACAAGTAGGCAGAGAGGCAGGCAGTGAGAGGAGGAAGCAGGCTTCCCGCTGAGCAGAGAGCCCGATGCGGGGCTTGATCCCAGGACCCTGAGATCATGACCTGAGCCGAAGGCAGAGGCTTTAACCCACTGAGCCACCCAGGCGCCCCCTAAGTCATACATTCTTTAGACACCGATGCAGAGATACACAAAACTACACAGCGGGAAATGCGGTAACTCACTGAGGCCTCTGGGCTATCATATACTACTCTAGAAAGGGCTATTAAAGATTCCTGGAGATCTTAGATTAAATGTTCTTAAGGTAGGCAGCCAGAGAAAATGAATAAGCATGTCTTGTAGCGTATGTTTTCTAAGGCTCTACAGGGATAAAGCAATGTTTGTTGGTTCTAAAGAAATTCAAGTGAGAATTGTAATGAAAATAAATATTATCCGGCATACTGGATTTGAGCTTCTTCGTGTTGCTCTGGGATATAGTCTCTGTATGCTTTGGTGTTAGAATAATTCCACGAGGGTGCGGAGATGTTTTCCATGATATGCCCGAACTGTTGGGTATGTTTTTAAACTTCTTAAGCTGCAAATTGGGAGTACTTACTGAAAGTTGATATGATTTTAATGGCGAAAATACTTTTTGGAAGTTGAGAATTTCTAACAATTCTCTAACAAATTACACTAAATACATATTTCTTAAAAATGAAAGTACTCACCTTGGAAGTTCTACGGACTTAAAACTTAGGTTGTTAATGGCAGTGCCTCTAGGTCTTTCCAGTGAAGCAGAACTTTTGTTCAGCCTCTGTAAAACTAGCCTGTTGGGAAGTGGGTCTGCCTAATTCCAGTTAGCTAGAAAAGACCTATCCAAAACAACTGATCTGAAATTCATGACCTGAGTAACTGTGCTCAGTGTCTTGGCTTCAGAGGTGGGAGGACAGAAGAACACTTGAGGGGCGTTGCCCTGTGCAGCACATGGCATGTTCTTGCAGCTAAGCTCCAGGGTCAGGATTACCTGGGGCAGAGAGAAGCTGATCTTGGTCAGTAGATGCAGGGGGTTGGTTATGATGCTGGGAACTCTTCAGTCTTCATTTCTAAGCAGGTATCAGTGGTGCTGCTTTGACTCCTCTGATACCCTGCCAGAGAAATAACTGAACTAAAAGGGGGACAGGAGGACATGCAGTACTTATTTTTGGTTTCTCTATAGTCTCCCCTCCTCCAGTATGGCTCCTGCCCCTCTAAGTAGTTCTTCACTCTGGTCTCTTTGCAGTTTAGCAGTGCCTTGTCTTTGCTCTTGGGATGAAGTCCAAATTGCTTAACTTTGCTCACAGACACTTCACGATATGATCTTTGCTACTCTAATTTTTCACCTCTCCCCTCATGCTAGGGTACTGCACCTGCTCTATGTTCTTATGTCATTCCAGACTCGATTCACACTAGTGTCTCTGCCCAGCACACTTGTGCTAGACTTTTTTGTTAGTTCCTGTGCATCCTTGAAGTCTTCACCTGGGTGTCACCATTTGCAGAAGCCTGCTCTCACCCTTCCTGACCAAACTGGGTGCCCTGTTCATGTGCTCTCAGGGCCCCAAGCTAGAATGCTGCACTCTTGTGCCTTTGCAGTGCGGTTCCCTAAACCTGCAGAGCATTTGGTTTCATATTTGTCCAAGCTCCTCAGGACCAGACTCTGTCCTGTTCATTATTGTTTACAGTGCTCTCAGAACAATGTGTGGCATGTCTTTGGAATTCAGAGATGTATTGTGTTTAATTGAATTGAACCTCAAATAAAAAGTTGTTTCTAGTCCCCATGAGTTTTTTTACATTTTGAAGAGAATTTCTTAGTAACTATGGCACAATAACTAAGAGAATAAGAGAATTTCTTAGTAACTGTGGCATAATGGCTATAGGTGTTGCTTATTATGGCTCAAAACCAACAGTTTTCCTCACTTAACTCTTGTAGGTCCACAGGAGATATTTTATGGGAAATCAAGTTCTAAAGGTCTTTGCAGAAAACGATGATGAGGTGAGTTGACAGTGGGCCTTTGAAGTAGTGCCACAGAATTGAATGTCATTTTAAGTGAGTTGTTTGGGGCTTTTATGGTTTAAAATGATGTTAATTCCTGCAACAACAGTGGGAAAGTTCACTGAGCTTAACTCTGAAAATGGAGAAATGATAAATGAATTTGTCATAGCGTGAGCACAAGGCCTGAGGACATAGTCCTGCCGCTGGAGACCAGGTACGTATTAAAAAGAACATTTGAACAAATGCATTTACATGTGAGAATCTCCTGGTCAGATGTCGAGGACGCTTGGGGTCAGGGTGACATTTTCATTGTCATTAAGCACTGAACATTTAATGCTTAGCTTTAGCATCCTGGAGATGAGTGTTAGTGATTCACTGGGCCACTTCCCTCATTAAGAAATTCGTCTTTGTCCTCTTCCCTCTCTCTCTTTGTACTTTTTTCCCACCTCCCCAGGAGATTCTGTTTTCAGGCTGGTTTTTGCCTGGCTAACAACCCATGACCATTGCATCCTACCTGGTCATATCTGCCCTCTCTGTAAATGTTTCCTGTTCGGCCTCCAAGCTGGAACTTGTCCTATCGAGATACTGATCTTAACTGGGATATGGCAGTCTCATGTCTGCTTGAGACCGCCTAAGCAGGGAACCAGGTTCCGGAAATACTTGCATTTGAAGTTAGTAAACTGGATGTCAAAGGCTTGTTGGGGTGCGGGGAGGGTGGTGGTAGAAGTGATCTAGTTCTCTTTGTCTCCTTTTCCGCTTTTTCTCCTCACTTCTGAGGGGTACCTGGCTGCTGATCTAATGAGTGGCGGTGCCATTTTACTGGAACAGTTAACTTAGGAGAATTGCTTTGTTTCCTGTCAATACCGAATGGATTTGTCAGAGCATAGTAAGCATATGTGAATCTTAGTTTACATGAGAATCCTTGTTCATGGATTTTTTCCCAAGTCAAATCCTCTTGGGAATTACACATTTGTAGTATATGTTGTCATCATAGCTTGACAGCATTTTAAGCTGAATTTTAACTCCAGCTTACCATTCCTGCACATAGAAAACTCTGATCACTTCATGCGATTGCCAGGATGTCATAAAGACTCTTGTCAGCACCTTTGTGTTATGACCTATGTGATTATCTAAACTGGCTAGTTAAGGGCAGCCTGTGGCATGCATCATTCCAGCCCAACCTCATACAGACCCTATAGATCATTGGGTTACTTTGAGGTCACTCAAGGAAAAAAAAATTCATCTGCTAATGGCAAAGGGTTACTCTTTGGTGTCATTCTTGATGTCCTAGTCAAAGGACAGTACTAATAGTGGGAGCTGCTGAGATAGGCAGGGGGGTAGGGAAGTTATGTCAGGTGATGACTTCCAAGAAAACTTTGTAGGTCAGTAAGGAAGTAGTAGGGACGTGGGACATCAGACATAATAGCCCCCTTCTTACATTAGAGGAGTATCATGTGGAATAGAAATTTAACTAGTTTTCCTTCCAACAGGTGATAGTTTTATTCAAAATAAAGAATTATTTTTATCAAAAGGGTTACTACCTCCAGGTCAATTGGTTTCTTGTGAGACAGGTCTCTGTTCCTGAATATTTCTCAGCAGGGTCTTTATTTGTGCCAGTCAGATTTGGGGGAGGGAATTTCATCATCATGTGGGTGGTTAAGCTAGATAAATACTGTTGTTTTTCAGCTCAAATATTCTATGACTCTGTCAATAATTCCTTTTAAAAATATGTTTTCTCTGGTCATTAGCATGCAATTTTCTTGTATAGAGAATCTATACTTGCACATAATTTGTACTATGTGTGGAGGAGGAGAAAAGGAAGAAAAGGAAATGGAGCTGTAGTTGAGTTTCCCACAGAGGTAGCATTGTGTTTATAGTGTCACAATCATCCCTGACCCCTTCCTTCCTTCCTTTAATATCCCAGTTGGTTCTATCAAAGACACCCAGATAGAAATTTGCAAACAAATTGGAAGTAATTTTTGGAATTGGAATTGGAAGCAAACAGTTGTCCTCAGACTCCCATTGTGTGTGCTTGTCTGGTCTCTAATGGGACTTGCTAGACTGTACACATTCTGTATTTGGTACGTATCTCACTTCTGCTAGTAAAGAGTGTATGAGCTCAGTGAAATCAGGGATTTATCTTTGTTTTCTTACAGGGTCTAAGACTGTGTAGCAAAGAGTAGGCACTAAGTAAATATTCTGTGAATTGAACTAAAAAGGTAATGAATCTGCCACAAAACCTATAGAGGATTTTGATGACAGGGTATTGAGGTCATAGGTTTTTGGTGGAGGAAATTAAAATGTACGTAGCTAACTTGGGTAAAGAGTAACTATAATACTGAGAAAAGTTCAGACAGTGTTTGGGGAGTTATGGAAGTGGAGAGACTAAAGCAAATCTAAAATGGCGAGGTTATCAATTTACTGGGCCTTGAGAATAGGTTAGAAGCTCAAGAGACAGAGATATGGAGAGGGCATTCTAGCTAGGAGGAAATTTTAAGAGTAGAAAGCTACAGAGGAGGGAGAGTATAAGACTTGTTTAGGAATAATGGTCAGCTAACTGAGGCTGGGATAGTAGAACCACTGGAGATTCTTTTAAAGATATTTTATTTATTTATTTGAAAGACAGAGAGTTTGCATGTGTACTTGGGCAGGGGGTGGGAGAGGGACAAGCAGACTCCATGCTGAGCAAGATCCCAGTTGAGCAAGATTCCAGCTCGGAGCTGAATCTCATGATCATGACCTGAGCCCAAATCAAGAGTCAGACGCTTAACCAACTGAGACAGCCAGGTGCCCCGAACCATTGGAGTTTCTTATGGAAGGGAATGACGTGATCAGCTCTGTGAGCTGGAGAGGCATTGATGCAAGAAATAGATTAGAGAGATAGAGAGAGGTAGAATTAGTAAAATTTGGTAAACACATGAAGGGGAAGGACGAGTCGGGTGGCATTACTGAAGACTTTGGGCTTCTCATTTGGTTGTATGGGAGGTAGAGTTCTTGAGGTAGGGAGTACTAGAGGAGAATGGGGGAAAGATAGTAGTTTAGTTTTGGTCATGAACAGTTTCAATACTTGTGATATACTACCAGCTGGTGGGCAGTGTAAGTCTGGATCTTAGAGTGTTAAAGCTGAATATACAGATTTTTGATTCATCAACTCATGGGTCTGGATAAAATAATTCCCAAGTAGAGTTTCAGAGTGAGAGAAGGTGAGAAAGGCCAAGAACAGAATTTCAAGATTAGTGGAAGAAGAGAAGAGTTAGGGGAGGAATGATCCACAAAGTAGAATAATCACAGAAGAGTATTGTTTCCGAAGCCAGCGAGAAAGTGCAGAGAAAGGGGCATGGTCAGATGCTGCTGAAAGGTCAAATGAATAGAATGGGAACCAAGGACTGGCAGTTAGGAGGTCATAGCTGACTTCAGAGAGTAATTTCAGTAAATAAAATGAGGGCAAGAGCTGGATTAGATTGAAGAATAATTGTGTTCTGAGCTGTGAAAATACCAAGACCAACACCATTTGGTGAAAACACCAAGTTTCATGAAATTTAGAGGTAAATGGAAAGATATAGATAGTAATTTATGGAGAGAGGGGACCAAAGAAAGATTGTGTTTAGAAAGGCTGAGACTGGATGGAGTTTATTGGGAGGATGAGGGTATGAATTGAGAGACGAAAGATTGAAGTGATGACAGAGAGGAGCCACATAATGAAGCAAAGTTCCAGAAGAGCTTACAGTTAGTGTGATCAAATGCAGGTGTGTACAGTGTGGCCTTGAAGTAGACAGAGGGGCACTTAAGAAATCTGAAACAGGAATAAGGTGGATAACGATTTTTTTTAGGCTCAGTATAGTTATTTTTCTTTACTGTATAATCATGTAGATATCATAGTGTAGTTCAATTAAGAAAAGCTATTCTGTTATATACATCTGAATTTATCTGACCAAAATATGTGGGAAAGCATTAATCAATACATTATCAGTATATATTGAAGAGACTCAAAAATCAATGTGAACCAGGCATGAATGGCTTTTTAGGACCATTGTTCTAAATATTTTCATTCTGGAGACAGCCAAGAAATGAGTTAGCAGAATCTCTTTAACGTCTGGCATGAAAAGGATCCAGAAAAAAGAAGTTAATGTTTTTCTATTTTATTACCAGTTTCATATTACAATACTAGTAACTCCATCTGAGGCTTTGGAAACACTAAAAGTACTCAGTATTTTCGTGTTCGGTCTATATATTTAATCTAGCTAACAACAGTAAGGTCCAAGAGTAATTTTTATAAGCACAAAACTTACTCAGAACTCAAATTCTTTATGAAAATGTTATAGCACTAGAGCTCAGGAGTTTGCTATACTGATAATCTGTAACTGCCAACGAACACTTCCATTTTCAGTAGCATTGATAATAAAGCTATAATATAGGTTGTAAGCATAGTAGAAATAACGTATAATTTAACGTACAATTTAAAGACAAAAGGACTTTCTTTTTCTTAGATAACAATCTTGTAAGTACAGGTGACCCTGGAACAGTGGACGAGGGTAGAGAGTGAGGGGGTCTGACACCCCAAGCAGTCAGAAATCCAGTGTAACTTTTGACTCTCCCAAAACTTAACTACCAATAGCCTACTCCTGACCAGAAGCCTAACCAATAACAGCACTTAATATGTATTTTATATGTTGAGTGTATTATATACTATATTACAGTAAAGTAAGCTAGAGAAAAAATGTTAGTAGGAAACTCATAAGGAAGCAAAAATACATTTATAGTACTGTGAAAATCTGTGTGCCAGCGGACCTGTGCATTTCATACCCGTGTGTTCAAGGGTCAGCTGTATTTAGGTGTGTTGGGGAAGTTCACACACATTGGCTCTGTGTCATGCAGCGGCTTTCTTATCAGGCAGCAGCAGTGGCACTTTCCTCCCTGATTCATGCTTTGGATGAATTGGACATGGTGGCCATAGTTCGATATGCCTATGACAGAAGAGCTAATCCTCAAGTTGGCATGGCGTTTCCTTATATCAAGGACACCTATGAGGTAAAACCCATAATTCTTTCATGTTAATTTTTTTCCATCAGTTCCTTTATTCCAAACAGTGCTTCTCAGCTCGTAATGTGCCTGGGAATGACTTGGGGTTCAGATTCTGTAGGTCTGGAGCGCTGCCTGAAATTGTGCATGTCTCACAAATTCTCAAATAAGGCTGACGCAGATGGTCTGTGAACCACACTTCCAGTTGTAATGAAAGAGCGTAAATGTAAGGAGCTTATCATTAAACCAAATCAGTGAAGGCGACCTGTAACCTTCTGCTTGTCCAGTCCAGTGACCTCTCAGTTCTCACCCTTCTTGACTTCGCAGAACCTGATGGGGATAGAGAGCGCCCTTACTTTTACAAATGAAGAGTATGGATAAAGGTCAAGGGTATGATTTTTTTTGTGGTCCTTGAAAAAGTCAGTTTATTTGGTGTTCTCCTGTTGAAAATACAGGCCTAGATTCTTGACCGTCTCCTGTTTCTCAGGGAACTTTCTGTGGTAGAACTGGAAAAGAGAAGGCAAATACCTTGACTTCCCGATCAGCCTTCCAGTCAACGTGACTTTTCCATTTATTGTATTGGTCACACATTTTGCAGGTGTTCTGGATAATCTTTCTGTTAATTATTTCTTTATGTTTAATATTCTTGTACCATTCACAGTTGTATGCAGTGAAAACAGAAAGCAAAGCAGTACCAGACCGGACTTGTCTGATTTTTGAAAATACTTCTGTTGCACCACTTGCATGGCATTTGGGACCAGCTTTATATTTTTTCCATTAATTTGGTTTCTGCTTTTACCTCCTCTCTTTCTCCTTAGTGTTTAATATATGTGCAGCTGCCTTTTATGGAAGACTTGAGACAATACATGTTTTCATCTTTGAAAAATAATAAGAAATACATTCCTACAGGTGAGTTTATTTTCATTTTGCTCGTTAATTGGCTCTAAAGGCAGACGGTCCTCGGGAAATCACCTGCCTGCAGTCACTGATTGGGGCGGGGGGCCTCCACAGGGTGGAATTTCTTGGACTCCAGCCGTGCTCGTGCTCATACACAGTGGTGATGAAGGGGATGCATCATGTTTTTTCGTAGTGGGGATGGGTTTGTCCTGAACTCTCCAAACACTGTCTGGTGTCCCACTCTGACTCAGAGCTTGTAGCTAGGGAGCAGCTTGTTGGAAGTGGATGTGCATTCTCTAGTGCTGAACCAGTTAGCCCTCTGCTGAAGTGAGCTGACGTGCAGTGTCAAAGCTGTGACTGTAGTGTCCTACGTAAAATATGATGTAACTAACTGAACCATAAAGTTAAGTTCTGGAAGTTACCTTTTCTCTTTGTTCTTTCTTTGTAGTTTATACTAACCCTCCAGGCTGCTTTGTTCCTTGCTTCTAGGAGTTACTTTAAGTGTGATGAGAAGAGGCCTTTATCATGCATCTGGCAAGGAGTGTCAGGGTGCCGCCCGGAATGGTTCACACAGATATCAAATCCTATCTTTTGTTTGTCATAGTTTAAGACAGCTGCAATAAAATATCAGAGTGGGCTGAATGTAGAGAATATATATACCAAAAAGAACACAAAATAGTGAGTAGATGTTTTGGTTTGAAAGTTTAAAATCTGTGTCATTGTAGGACGAGGGAGTTGTGAGTTGAGTCTCAGAGATGGGTTCTCTGTTTTTTTGGTTAGATCCTTGAGGAGCAGGGCACTGTAGAAAAGCCGAAAATCCAATAGGCCTGAGGGTTTGTGTCTTCACCTTCTAGAAAGAGTCCCTCTGCATCATGGTGGGGCCAGGCATGGACTTGAATGTATAGAAGCCTCCACTGTGTTACAATATTATTTCTCTCCGTGTTGATAATTTCAAACATTAAATGAGTAGACATTTGAAAAAGAGAACTTTGTTGAGAAATTATCGCATGGACATAAATCATTCGCTTGGGATCTAAAGTGTGAAGTATCTTTCAGTCTCTTGATTTTTTTTCTGTGAGTTTGCATATTTTTATTTGCATGTTGTCCACTGGGAAATGGATCGTTGAAACTGTTGGACCGGTGCCCCGGTAGATATTTATATAGAGGTGTCCTGATGCTCGTTTGACGTAGCAGGTCAAAGTCACCGAATGTTCACACACGCAGGTGCAGCTTCCAGCCTGTCGCCAGGGGGGCTCTGCAGTAGTCAGTTGAAGATGGTGATGCCATGCCAGTGTCTGGAACCTCCCCTGGAAAGTCCGAAAATGGGATAGAAACGTATCAGGAGAAAAATCTGTAGTATGCACTTTCATTTTGTAGTACAAGAGATACTTGAAAAGGTGAAGAACAGAAGCACAATGGGCTTTTTAGGAACGGCTTACTCTTTTCTACCTTTTGCCTAATAGCTGTGAATGATCCAAATACAGCGCTCTAGCTTCAACAGCTGTATGAATCAGCAGAATGGAAACTACACAATGGTCGTTTAGGTAGACGTGTTCTGGAAAGCGTTGCCTTTTATCCCCACTGCCTTGGACTGGGCCATTTTTGTTGCATTGGTAGATTTTTATGGAGAAGCACTTGCTTTCTGTTAGGTATTAGGAGAGAGGTAACAAAGATGTCATGTTTCTGCTCTCAAGGATCTTACAGTTTGAACGGAGCGGGGTAAGTCACGGATGCAGGTGTGCATACAGGCTGTGAGGTCTGTGAGGGGAGAAAGCTTGTTCTGACTTTGGGAGACTGGGAAGGAGTCCACTCCCTCGGGTCTACTGGTGTCTTCCATTAGGTTTCTCTGTCTTCGTCTTAATTACCCTGATACAAGTTATAGGAAATCCTTGTAAAGCTTATGTCTCGTCACCAAAGATATTTTTTCTTCTTCATGTTTTTCTCTTTTAGCTAATTACTAATTTTTTGAATATCACTAACTCATTGAATACTGAATATTTTGAGTCTCTATATAGACATTGGGTTTTGTATGTCTGGTGCTTCCTCTGGAACAAACTTTTTGGCTTTCGCGATGATATTATACTGCAGAAGTTCACTGAGTAGACCTAGGAGACCAGCTACTCTAAATAGCTCTTTTTACAAAAGAGAACACCAAGACTAAGGTTAAGTGACTTGTGTAACTAGAGACTACTTTCTGGCCAAGCCCGGACTGTATATAACCTGCTGGTAATCCTGGATCTCTGAGTGGAAAGCATTTATTTTAGTGGAGAGCAGTGGAAGTAATCATTTTCCTTTGTGCACTCTGTTTATGCTTGTTTTAGAGGCTCAGTTGAGTGCAGTAGATGCCCTGATTGACTCCATGAGCTTGGTAAAGAAAGGTGACAAGGAGGACACCATTGAAGACTTGTTTCCAACCAGCAAAATCCCAAATCCTCAATTTCAGAGATTATTTCAGGTAAGAGAGAAAAGATGAACCAGTCTTTTTTGTTTCTTTTGTTTTTGTTTTTTTTAAATGAAAGAGAGCTGAGTGAAAAGTTAGTGTAATTGGCCAGTTCCAAACAAGCGTCTTTGTCCTCTGAGAGCTTCAGTTGCATTATTTAATGGAAGTATAATAACCTTCCTCTAAAATAGATAAAAATACTCTGAACTGTTAGGAAGAAAGAAAAAAAAAGAAAAAGAAAAAAAGTTAGGATACTTGAAAAATTATTTTTCGGGGCACCTGGGTGGCTCAGTTGGTTAAGAGTCCTTCGGCTCAGGCTCAGGTCCTGATCCCAGGGTCTGGGGATTGAGCCCTGTGGGCTTCCTGCTCAGTAGGGAGTCTGCTTCTTTATCTAACCCTGGCCCCTGCTTGTGCTCTCAGACATTCTCTCTCTCTCAAATAAATAAATTAAAAATGTTTAAAAAGAAAAGTTCTTTTTCTGGAGGAAGCCTAGTTTTCTTTGTTTTTTTTTTTTTAAAGGGAGTTTTTTAATAAAAAGCAAATTCTTCTTTTATGCCTTTTCTAGGATTTCCTCCTCTGTTTTATACGAATGAGACTTTGCTTTGTTTTTAATATCCAGATAGTTGGAGAATTTTTGTGAACTGTATAACAGTATTAGAAAAGAAGTTTTTCAGTACCACATCTGTCAAAATTTCATAACTAAAGTTAGTATGGAGGTCAGATCAAAAGGTTATAGTATGAAATTATTAAAGAGTATCTACAATATAGAAAACTGTAAAATAGGTATTTTTGAGTCTTGACCTGAAGGAGTTAGAAGGTGGAGATTGGATTAAGGGAACCGGAAGGCTGACAAGAGAGCTGACTTGTGCTAAAACAGGGGAGGGATGGACCAAAGGACTATTCCAGTCCCAGGTGAAGTTGGTGGCAGCAGTATAGGCCTTTCTGAACCCCACAAAGCTGACAGAACTCACATGCAGCTTTTTCAGTCATGCTCTTCCCCACAGGGGATTGGAGGACCTACTCTTGCAGGGGTGGGGAAGGTGAGGGAGAGACCACTGATTATCCCTTTCTACTCCTTTCTCAAAGCATCTTTAACTGTCTCAAGTCTATATCAGGGCCTATTGTAATTTTAAGGGATCTTCTACTCAGAAGAAACTGCCTGTTTTTTTGATGCTTACATTTGCTTTAAGTTGTGAATTAAAATCTTTTCTTCTAAAATTAGAATATAAAGCTTAACATGTACAAGGCTGACTCAGTGACTTCTCCAGTATTCTAAGTATAGTGAAGTATACACTACTTGTATAAACTTCTTTGGTGTTTTTGTCAAGTGGACTTCAAGACCGGAAGCTCTTTGTCATTTGTAGGGAAGGGAGGAGCAGACCACTTGGTGTGGGAAGCTTGCAAAAGTATCTGGTCACTGTAGTGAAAAGTGGAAACGTCTAATCCTTGGTAGGTTTATCTCAGGTGGGTTCTGCCTGCCTCAATATCCGTTTATTTGGGTTGATGGACAGATAACAGGCCGTAAGCACAGGTATTTGATACCTTTCAAAGCTGCAGGCACTGGCAACTTTGATTTTTACAGCTTACCAACCTTGCTTTCTTTGTGGAGTTTTTAACATGGTTTATCTGTACAAGGAAGTATTATTACTACAGCATTTATAAATTGAATTCACTTTTTTTTTTTTTTTAAAGATTTTATTTATTTGTCAGAGAGAGAGGGAGAGAGAGTGAGTGCAGGCAGACAGAATGGCAGGCAGAGGCAGAGGGAGAAGCAGGCTCCCTGCTGAGCAAGGAGCCCGATGCGGGACTCGATCCCAGAACGCTGGGATCATGACCTGAGCCTTCGGCTCAGGTCAT